CCTGGGTAACCTGGCTTCCGTCCTCCGCGTCGCCCGTGAGCTCCGCTGCAGGTACCGGGTCTCCGTCCTCCGCCCCGCCGGACCCTCCTGTCCGCCCTTCGCCCCTCACTCCTGTGCTCTTCCCCCATGCAGGTTTCAGCGCCTGGACTTTGTCTACCTCAACGCTGGGATCATGCCCAACCCACACGTGAACTTCAAGGCACTCTGGCATGGTCTCCTCACCGGGTAGGAGATGTTGGGGGGGGTCTGGTCCCTGCCTTATGGGCAGTACGGGGTGCTGGCAGCATCATCACGGCCAAGGCACGCCCTTAGGTCTGAAGACCTTATCTCGCTTCCCCAGCGTGACACAGAGCACGTCCCTGTGGGATGCATGGCCTTGCGTGGGGTGGACTTGGCAGCTGGGTGAAGTGCCAGGGTGCTCCAAGGCACCCAGTGCTGCTTCTGATCCCTGGTGTGAGGCCTGCTGTGTGCAGGGGGAGGGCAAGGGTTCACCCAAAGCCTGCAGCTCTTGGCACTAGGCATTGAGTGAAAAAGGCTGGGGGTTGCTGGTGAGGTGGAGTTTGCTCTGAGTGGGTCTCCTTACTGTTGTTTTGGTTCCACTGTAGTTTTTTTGTAGTTGTTCTCAAATGTGGATCACAGTATTTTGTGAAGCTAATAGTTGATGCTTATTCTATAAGCACCATGGGGATAAGCATCATTATTCTATAAGCAACATGGGGAAGTTGAGCTAGGGAGCAAAGTGACTTGTACTGAGTCTCATACAGTTGTTTGGGTCTTGAACATAGCTGCTAGACCGCTTTCCTTATCCGAATTAGGCACGGCCCTAGGGCTTAGTTCCATGCTGGAGCTTGGTTTTTGTTATCTGAATGTGAAACAGAAGAGCAAGACTTTTTTTTTAATGGTACTTTACTGTGGTGAAGTGAAGGAAGGGACAAATCTTCTCTGGTCTAGTCATTATTGAAACACTTGCAAATAAAGGCACTGGGATACTCTGTAAACTTTTTCCAGCCATTTTTTCATGGATTAATAGAGCTTTTGAAGGTGAAACTAGAGAGTCTGTGTGGAGCCTGTGAGGTGGGGAATACTTCTGAAGGACTGAAGTGGGGCAGCACTAGATGCCTCCCAGTAGTGTTCCTCTCCAACTCCTGTCCTTGACTTCCAGGAAGGTGCTTCACATGCTGACCACTGCAGAAGGCATAATGACCCAGACGGACAGGCTTAATGGAGATGGACTGCAGGAAGTGTTTGCTACCAACCTCTTTGGACACTTTATCCTGGTGAGGCTGCGTATGAAGATTGAGCCCTCGGTCTGGTGGTTGGTGTGGGTATGGATGGGTACAGGCGGTACTGATGAATCAGTTCTGTCTTACAGGTTTGGATGCTGGCTCCAGCCTGACAGATAAAGAATGATAGGGCAAAGGTCTCGGGCTTTGTTAAAATAGCAATAAACGGTGATAGTCGTTGTTGCAAGTGTTAAAATAATCTCGAGGTTACTCTAGTTGGTCAGTGGATAGAGGTAAACCATGCGTAGTTCTCTCTGTCCAGGGTGAATACCAAGACTTGACTATATTAAATTCCGAGATGCTCGACTGAGCTGTGTAAGAGAATGGTGGCTGCTTCTAAATGCTGCTGGTGGACCTTTGGGCTGAAGGTATACTTGAGCAGCGGCTGCTTCTGGCTCGTCTAGTGAAGAATGGCCAAGACTAGGAAAGCTGAGATTAGCTTTGCAGTTCTTAAAAGCCACGAGCTTTACTGCAAGACTTGAAAATTACTGTGTTAAATAGTCAACAATTATTTTGCAGGTTCGTCAACTTGAGTCTCTGCTCTGTGGTAACGAAAACCCCTCACGACTCATCTGGACCTCCTCCAGCAATGCCAGGGAGTCTGCCTTCAGCCTTTCTGACTATCAGCATGCCAGGGGGAAGGAATCATACAGTTCTTCCAAATATGCTACTGACCTGACAAGTGTGGTTCTGAACAGGAAATTTAATAAGCAGGTGATGATGGGGTTTGCATGTCTGAAGAAACCTAATGAGCTCCTACTATTTATAATTATCATTACATTGTTGTTACCTAGTTGCATTCATTCATAGCAATCTGACATGTTCCTTAATGCACATGTAAGAACTAAGCATGGCTGAGGTTGAACCGCTGGTGTGAGTGGTGGAGAACCTGCCACAGAGATTGCTTCTGGGGTTCTTGTCAGAAAAACTTCTGAAAGCAGAAGATTTTTGGGAAGGGTCCCTACCTTGCAAGCTCTAGTTGTCTCTCTAGACCAAAGAATTGGTCTTAAAGACCTGCTGCTCTTTTCAGGCATACCTGCCTATCAGAACAGGGCTGCTCAGGCAGCTTTGCCTGCAAGCCCTCAAGGTGCAGGCTCTGCTGTCTCTCCTGATGGCTCCGTGCTGCTATTCAAGTTTGTCACACTAAGATGTATGAGCAACCTGCCTTCCCTGTCACGGGGATTACCAGATTTTGTCAGCAAGCTGCAGCCCTTGTTCAGCAATAGTGATTGCACTCTTCTGAAATACTTCAGGAGAAAATGGTTTGGTCCTAGAAGGCTGAACTCTTATTCTTAAAGGTGAGCTGGCGTTTGAGCGAAGCAGGCTGTAATTTGTGGGATGAGTGCTGTTGCTGCTGAGCTGCATGTAGACTGCACCATGAGGTTGTGATGTGTTGGGAGGCTGTACCTTTGGTCTCATGGGCTTGCAATGGGCACAGATTTAACATGGACATCTCCAGTTTGGACCTCTCAGAAACCACTACACCTAATCACTCTCTGGCTCTGGTAACTTCAGAAAGGAGAACATCTACTATTAACTGGTCTCTATACTCACCTTCATTTTCTTGCTGAGAAGCACTAGGAGGGAAGGAGTATGATCCATTCTTAAACTAGCTGTTGTGTATTTGCACACTGACTCAGTTTCTTCTCTGCAGGGTCTGTATTCCAGTGTTGTTTGTCCTGGTCTTGTTATGTCTAACATGACCTACAGCATTTTGCCAGTTTTTCTGTGGAAGCTGCTAATGCCCATCATGTGGTTGGTAAGTGGGTCTCCTGGCTGGTTTTGGGTTCAGGTAGCCCTGCTGTGATTGATATCCTTCACTGCAAGTGACGTGCAGCGTACTTCTGGCTCCTTGCCACCCGTGCTGCTATATAGCTCTTCCTTCTGTTGGACTGGGCAGGCTGGCCCCTCTGCAAACCTTCCCTTTGGCACCTTGGGGCCCTGATTTCCAAGCTGAGTTTGGAGGTTTGGTGCTGGGCAGCAGTGTACACTGAGCCAGGGTTCAGCCCTTCAGCCATAGCAGCGTTTGTCAAGGCTCCCCTGGGAAGGTTTGCCAGCCTGTTGTGGGCTTGTGAAACCCTATCACTTTGGTGGCAGCAGAGCTCAGGGCAAAACCTGGTCCCCGTGCTTTGAAATGCTGTTTGTTTCTATAATAGACGCTGTATTTTTCAGTGTTCTTCCTATCCCTCTAGAAGGGAGTGTCTCCTGCTCTCTTCTTTCCATCCCTCTGGAAAGCAAAGCCTGCTGCTCCCTGTTGCCTCTTCCCCTGCTTTCCCAAAACTTTCCTTGCCTTTCTTCCTCTGGGCTTCAGCTTTTCAGGTTCACTGCAGTTCTGTACCTGCATGCAGGCTGCCTGCTCTGAGCCTTGATGGTCTTGCTGCAAGATTGGCCTTTCTGCTTAAACTGCCTCAGCTGGCAGCAGCTGATCCTGATGGATCACATTTCTCCTGGCAGTGGAGAGGCAATGCCTTCTCACTTGTCCTCAACACTGGTGGTATTGCAGACCCTCTCTGCCTCCTGCCTGAGGTGCTCTTGAGACCATTCAAGAAGAGGTGCCTGCAGGGCATATGTGTGGCCCGTTGCCTCTTGCTTTGGGGGTGAGCTCTGTGTGGGGGCACAGAGCGAGGCTTGCTGATCTGGTGGGTGGCTCCAGAGACCAGAGTTTATGGTGATAAAGGGATGCTTTAGCTGTAAGTGTGCAGTGTTACCTGTAGGCAACTTTGAGAAGCATTTCTACCTCTGGTAGATGATCTGGTGTGGCTGGGCTGCAAGGGGCTTGCCAAAGAAACCTTGGGCCAAAATACAGATTCTGTTTTGTACTTCTTTTCCCCTCAGATCCGCTTCTTTGCCAAAACTTACACTCTGACACCTTATAATGGAGCAGAAGCTCATGTAAGTAGTTCACAACTTGATTTTAATATTCCTCCTTTCTGGGTAGCTCTTCCAGTGTCTGCTGGCTTGAACAAAAAGAGCCTCTCTGCCAGGCTGGTGGGTGGGTGCTGTATTTCCCCCCTGAACAGCTTACAGCAGTGAGTGCTAGGGGACCAGCTGTGACCAGGGCTGATCCAACAGGTGATGCTTTATGCCACTCATCAGGTGCCCATAAAGTAAATGATTTTGGAAAAACGCTATTCATTCCCTCTTGGTCAGGGAGAATGCTGCTCTCCCTGTTGGCAGTCATGCAGGCACAGGGGATGGAGGTGGGTGATGCAGGGCACAATGGGCATCAAGAACAGTAGTGAGCAAGTTTAGCCACATGAACTGCTTTAGTGATTTAGCACTGGGGCATAAACATTGTGTACTGTTGGATCTAGTAGGCCACAGCCAGCTCAGACCTTGTTCTTGAGACATCAGGTCTTCCCCTGCCTGGTAAAAGCACCTGTGTTGTGTTCTCCTGTGTCCATTGGCAGCCAGGTCCTTGACTGCAGGTTTGGTTGGGACAGTGTGCGCTAGACTTGTACATGTTTGTGCTCTTCTTCCTAGGTGTGGCTGTTCAAACAGAAGCCAGAGTACCTGGATGCGCTTGTCAAATACCACAGCTGTACTTCTGGACTGGGGAAGAACTATGTGGAGCCCAGAAAGGTAAATGGAGCGGCAGCCTCCTGCTGCAGGGGACTTGGCTAGGGGTCTGCCATCTGCCTTGCATGGAAGGGTTGGTGCCAAGGGTGTACTGTGGCTGGAGTGGAAGCAAGGTGCACGTTGAATGCTGACGTGGGGTTATCTGTGAGGTTTCCTGGAGTAACTCCTGGCTCAGGCTAGAGCCTGGAAGACAGTGGAGAGAATGGTTAGAACAGGATGAGTGTGTAATGATGCTTCCCCAAAATATGTTCTGGCTTGTGGCTGGTGCTAGATGCCTTTAGTTGCCTCTCTGAATGTAGAAGCTCTGGGGATGCACCCTACTATCCCCAGAGCTGCCCTCAGCATCTGTGGTGGCTGCCACCGAGGTGATGGTCTCACAGTGCTGTTCTTATTGTCTTCCAGATTGTTGTGGATGAAGAAACTGCTGAGAAATTTTATCAAAAGCTGTTGGAATTGGAGAAGCAGGTTCTAGAGAAATACAGTGACCTCCTAGATTAAGTAAAGCCAGTCTCAGTGGGATAACAGTCTTGTATCGGTAACATGGGCTTTCTTCATTCTGGTGCTACTTGTGTTGCCTGCTGTTCTGCAGGCACATGGCTTCAGACCCCATCTTCCTTCTCAACAGAAGGTGAACAGTTCCTGAAAATGGAACTGTGAAAACTGAAGAGAAATACTTAGTCTTTCTGGTATGGGATTTTTTCCTGGCATAACACTGGAGACCTAAAGTAGGTGGAGACTGTCTTTAACACAGTTGCAAAGCACTGTCTTGCAAAAGCATGACCGAACCGTGCACAGTTCGGGAACAGCCTCAAAACATGTGGTTTAAATCTGGCTTAGTGCAGGAAAGGCAACAGTCTGGGTGCTGCCCTGCGTCTTGGCTCTACTGGTCTTTCTAGATGGCTTGAACACATTACCTGTGGCTGATCCTGAAGTACTTGAAGGCCCATCTTCAGAAGAGCTGCTCTTCATTTGTACACCAAAGCTGGGGCGGCTTTCCAGATGTGCTCAACAAGATTGAACCTTACTGGAAATCAAGCTCGACACAGCATCTGAAGCCAAGCTCCTGAAGAGCTGGCCTGAGAAGCACACCCCTTGCCTCAACCATGAGGACAGATGCCTTGCTGTCCCCTGGGTATGGGGCCATATGTGTTGTAACCACAACTGGCTGGAAAGACTGAAGCTGTTGATGTTAACCTGGGCTCAGGGCTAGTCTGCTCTGTTTGTAGGCAAGAATGAGAGGTTACCATGTTATTTTATCTATTTAACTGTCTTTTTATATAAATTTAATGTACCAAGTATTCTTCCTGTTGTCTATCTGGGAAGCTTCACCAAGTACCTGGTGTACTTCAAATGCTGCAATGAATAAATGACTGGAACTGACTTGTCCTTGCTGCAGTGGTGTCTTTACTCCAATAGTTGGCTGCTTTTGACTCGGAGGGCTGGAAGGGAGGTTGGTTTGTTGCCTTGCACAATAAGCCTGTGCATAGCTGGGAAGCGTGAGGTCTGTCCTCTCCTGCCACAGGAGAGCTGCTAACAGCCTTTTTGGGTGTACTTCTCTTGTTCCTTCTAGTTAATGAAAGACATGAGTGACTTCTGAAGAATTCAGTGTGGTTTTAAGCACCTGTGGGGTGTCTGGGACTATTTCCCAGCCTTGGGCACTTGCGAGACATAGATGTCTCTGGTGCTTGCTCACCCTGATGTGTCACAATTACTGATGTAACGCTCCCTAGTAAGGAAGTGTTACAGTGTGCCCAGATGCTTCCCTGGGGCCTGGCAAGGGCCAAGTGAGGTTAGGAGGGAGGCTGCGCTGCTCAGCGCAGCACCACTCTGGCTGCGGTGAAGACTCCCTGAGCTCTGGAGGTGCAGCTGCTCTGCCCGGGCTGGTGCATCCCACTGGGGGCTGGAGACTCCACAAGGGTTGGCTTGGGGGTCTCTGTCAGAAACAGCAGAAGCACAGAGCTGGCATCTGGGAGAATCCAGGCTCTGCAGAAGCTCTTCATTGAGTTGGCTTGTAGGGATAGAGATTTAAAGATTCTTGCTTTTATTTTTTTCCTTCTTTGCACCCTCTGTTATTTCTGAGCATCTGTAGCTGTTCAGAGTTGTGAAGCAGATTGGGGTGTGCTTATGTGGACCTTTATTTAAATGCAATAGTCTGTCCCAGCACCAGATCTGGGTGCTGTGCCTTTGTTCAGCTGCATCCTGAAACCCCCTGGGGCCAGAGCCCCCCCTTTCTGGTGCCATTTCTTCTCCACAGGGAAGGAGTCAGTGGCTGGCTGTCTCTTCAACTTGGTGTACTTGATTCCCCACAGCATCCTACAGCAGTATTTGGCTCCTTGTTCTGGAGACTAATTAAGCATCTCTTCTTTATTGGTTTTAGATGAGCATCTTGAACTTTGCTGTGCTTCTGCCCTGGGCTGTAGTAGGTATCATTCACCCCCTCCACTTTTAGGATTCCCCACCTACCCTAAAGCCAGAGGCACTCAGTCATTCCTTACCTCTGCTCTGACTGCTCTCTGATCCTACCCCTGCCTCATTTCCTCTTTGGGGTGAGAAATGAAATAGCAATTGTTACTCAAAACAAAGTCACAAACGCTTCATGAAATGAGTGCAACTTAGTGGGAGATGGGAAGAACAGGGCTCTTATGCCAAACTGATCACCTGTATTGTTGTGTACCAGCTGCACGCTGGCACTGTAGCTGTGACAGCCTAAGGATTTGTATGCAGTAAGGACTGGAGGTGCTAGAAGAAGTAGCCTTGAATAAGCTAGTAGAGTTAGGAAAAATAAATGCTTTCTGGTACATGAGTTTGGTTTCTTTTTTTTTTTTTTCCAAAGCCTGGAATAAAGTGGTGAATTTCTAGGGTTGGCAGAGATTGATGACCGTAGGTAGGATCTTTGAGGTTTTTTTCTCAAGTGTGTGCCTGTGGGCTGAAGTTGGGCATTTATCAGACTAAGTTGTGCCTGATGGGATGGGGCGAGTGCTTTTTGCCTATGGAGCATGCAGAGGCTGGTGAAGGGGGAAGACATGTGATATACCACCACCAGTCTTTGAGTTATCTGTGACATTGGTGTCAAGTAGAGCTATGAACGCGTTTCTTGGCTCATCTTAAAAGCGCTCTGTAGCTCTGCCTTGAGGATTTGGGGTTCAGGGTTAGAGAAAAATGTGTGGTTCTGTGCTGTTGCATCTGAGCTCAGTCTGCTGCATGGTTTAGTTTCACCTTAGTTGCTGTGAAGGCACCTGGTGCGCTGGAATGTATGTTACATCCTGGGAGATGCAAGTGTGGGATTCAGGAGTTGGGGGGGATCTGCTGCAGTATGTGGTTGCGGTTGGTGTGGATGCAAAGTGGCCTCTGGAGATCTCTAGCTCAGCTTTCTGCTCAGAGTTACACGAAGAAGGAACAAAAGGCACTAAAGCACAAGCTGAGCCCTGGAGAGATGGGACAACCTGGAAAGATGGGATTAAGCTTGTGGTTTCCCATGAGTTTGGTGCTGCGTGGAGCTGGAGATGCACAATCAGCCCAGGTGTCTCCAGAAGACTGCTCTTCAGTTGGAGGAGGTGCTCTAGTGTCCTACAGCACTTGTCACAGGACCCCACTGCTCTGTAGGGGTTTCTGCCTCCTTTTGTGACCCCAGGTGTCATTGTCCATGTCCTTCTGTAGAAGTAAACTTGGCTGTGCTCAACCTCACCTTCTGCTCCTCTCCTTCATGTTGTGAGCAGCTGGACATCTTTGCATCTATCCAAAGGATGGGACTGTTCTGTGGGATGGGAACTGTAACCTCCTCTCAAGTTTCATCTTTTGTCCTGAAAGCACAGGTAGAACCTGGTGCCTTGAAATGGAGACTGCCCAAAGGGCAGGGGGTGGCTCAGTTGTTTGTTGCCCCCTGTGAACTTTGCCTGGTGAATCCAGCCCAAGGGGTGTGGTGCCACCTGGTTTGGCTGTCCACCACCCAGGTGACTGTGAGCAGAGCTGGCCGACACTCTGGAACTGCCAGTCTGCAGGGAGGGATGGCTCCTCATGCCCTGCTCTTGTCTAACAGACGCCTATGCATGGAGTTTAATCCCCCAGCTAATCCCTTTTGGCTGGCAGGCGCATCCAGGCATGAAATCAGTAATGGAGAAACAACAACTGGGTCAAGGAGAGCAGGCAGGTAAGTGCATCTGTCAACACCTTCCCAATGTGCTCCTGTCCCCTTGTCTTTGCTTGCTAAAGTAGTGGAGACACCGCTGATGCCATTGCATGAGTCTGCTGCCTCCATTGAGATTGTGCACGTGGAGTTGCTGAGCCTTTTGTGCAAAGAAAATAGGTCCTGCCTGGAGCATGGGGCCCCGTGGTGGAGCTGGGGGTGATGCAGGGTGGTGAGAAATGCCAGGCATGGGAAGCGGGAAAAGCAGTCAGCGGCAGCTGTGAGTCAGTGCGAAGACAGGAGCTTTCTGTTTGCCATCCTTGAATATGGAGCTTTCCAGAGATGCTCTGGGGCAGGTCTTGAGCGTGAAAACTTGTCAGGGTTGCTCTATGATGTCCTGTGCAATGAGGCTGTGCAATCTAATATCTAATCGTCATGCCTCGTCCCCCGTCACTGGTTTCTTATCTTCATGGGCAAACACGTTGCCTCGCTCCAAACACAATCCAAGTCCTCCACTGCTTTACAGCTCAGCTGGCTTTCAGCTATGTAGGGCACCGATAATAGCAGCATGGGTGGGAACTGCAGCCCAAGCCACAGCCAAGGGAGGAGAAAACTTGAGCTTGTTGTGGCAGGGCTGAAATCACTGCAGCTGGGTGACCTTTGCCTCTCCAGGAGGAGAAGGCAACAGGACTGAAGGAAACAACAAGGACCAGTGTGTGCCCCTGTAAACAGGGGTGGATGCGATACAGCCAGCTTGTGTCGAAACATCTGCCGTTAAACATTGAACGGCAACTTTGATGTTGAAAGTGCTCCAAGGGGAGCTGCCCAGAGAGGCTGGGGAGAGAGGAGAGACATAGCTCTGAAGAGCTGGGTGAGAAACAAGGAGCAGAAACCCCTCTGGGAATGTTGCAGGACTATGATGGGTCTGTCTGGCAGGGAAGAGCCAAGGGGAATGTAGATCCTGCTGGATCAGAATGGGCAAATTCTAGAGCCCCAGGAAGTTTTTGGCTGGGAGGGAGCTTTCACACCTCCAGCCAGTCCTGCTCTGAGCAGGGATGGCCTCACAGCTGGACCAGGCAGCTCAGGGATGTGTCCAGGTGAGTTCTGAAGTCTCCAGGGATGAAGACCCCACAGCCCCCCTGGCCCTGTCCTGGGGCTGCTTCCACACACCACCCTGCTTTGCAGCTTCCCAGGGGAGAGTAAGACTGAATTGCTTGAAGGGTGAGATGTCAGAGGCTCGGGGCAGATGTGTGCCACATGGCCAAGGAAATGGAAAAACCCAAAGAGAGCCAGGACTGCCTGCAGGGTCAGGGAGGCTTTTCAGTGTTGCTTTGCAAAACGCAGAGCTGTGCCCAAAGGAGAAACCTCGAAGGGGACCTGGTGAATGAGTTCAGGAACAGCTTGTGAGAAGAATCAGAACAAGTAGTAAATCCTTTATCTAGCTCATCAGTAGGTGCTCCTGTGTAAGAGCAGAGCTTGGAGAGGCTGCAGTGCTCTAATTAACATTTTTGGCATTGGTGCTCAGTGAGAGGACCCTGGGAAGGCTGCCCTGCCAGAAACCCTCTTGCAGATGCAAGGACTTGCATCAAACCAAAGTGCTAGCAGGGGAGACTACAAGGCAGTCAGATCAACAGCCAGGGCTGGATGACATTCATCTTGAGGCAAAGTAGCTGAACTGATCGCTGTACGTTCATTTCTCCCTTAAAACTGCCTCAAGCAAAGCAAACAGGAGGAGGTGGCTGCATACCCGTCCTGGGGTCAAGCTGTGCAAGGTCTTGCTGCGAGGCAGCACAAATGCTAAATGCTGATGTAGGATCCTCTTTCTTGAAAGAGAAGCTACTAAAGACAAAGATGACCTCAGGGTGCATCAGGGAGGCACGGCTCCAGTCTTTGTTTCTGTCT